GGAAGTGTTTACTAAGTATGAGATCTCTTACGAAGGTGGGTTGGAGGTGGTAGGAGATGATGTCTATTTAATATTTATAGTACTTCAGGCAGACCGTTCAGGAGGCATTGCACAGGAGGTAAAAGATTGATGAGAAATGATCACCCACCCACCCCCCCCCCCGCCGAATTTTGTCCCCTGATGGTCTTGCCAAGGATGCAGAAGTTGGGAAGCTGGTACACAGTGTGGGTGGGCAAGATGCTCTGCAGCCTTCCCTGTGCCCTTTGTCCTCATGGTGGGGCTGCCAGAGTTGAGAAGGAATCAGTTCTTGCTACACATCTTCTGTTTGGGTGCATATCACTGTCGTGAAGAAATGTCTACTTGCCACCTTAGAGGTCCTGCTTTAGGGGTTGCTTTTAGACATTGGGGCCTACTCATCCTTGAACAAACTCAGCATCTCCATTTAGAAGTGAAACCAGGTCTCTCCAAGGTCTCTGCCTCTTAGGTAAACCTGCCTTCCTGCAGGGTCCTTTCTGAAATCACTGTGTGAAGTAGCTGTCATTATATACAGTGTAGGGGTAAGGCAGCTGGGGTCCTCATAATTTCACAGGAAAAATGGTGGAAATCTGAGACTTGAATTTATATTTGGATTTTCTTCTCCCTGACCCTAGGCTGAAAATTGAAATAGAAAGCCTAAGCTCATTTGTAAATGTGATTTGCTCATTTGTTAAAGTGTGTTTCTCCTCCTCCCCCCAAAAAGAAGTAAAAAGAAAAAACTTCAGCCTTATTTTTCACTAGATATATAATACATGTGTTTAATTTTCTTCTGTAACCCCCAAAACAGATTAGCCTAATGAATAATGAATTCATATGTTGTGGACATGCTTACTAAAATTTCCCCTTTATTAATATGAAACACAAAATAATAATTTTTATGGACATTTTACCGACTCCTGATACTTGACATGGGAAATAAGTCACAATTTTGAGATATTTACTTAGTATGTATAGTTTAATGCCAAAAGCATGTTAAGATGCCATTTTAAGCAGATATAGTAAGACATTAATTTTGAGGTCCTGCCGCAAAGAAACAAAAGGAAAAGGTATTTGGGGGCTATTCAATGAATGATTATACTGTAGTGATTTAAAAAATGACCACCATTAATGTGTCAATATCATGGAAATTTAAATAGAATACATAAAAGAATATAGTATTTTTGCCAAAATTACACATTAACTGATATAATTTGCTTTCAAATGATTACTGTTTGTTTGAAGTAGAGCCATTAGACTGCTCAAAAATGGTGTTTGGCAGTTTAGGCTTTTGCCTGTTTATATAAAGGAAATAAAACTGAAGAAGTTCTTAACGTAGTAGATCAAAGGAAACGAATAGTGTATGGATTTGGCATTCTTTGTGGGGTCATATGGACTTTAAAAAGGAAATTTAACAAAGGATCCGAGGGGGTGAAATTAATTAAAAACCACCCAGTCTCATAATACACAACTTTGGACAATCTGTGTTTTCTTTTTTTATTTTTATTTTATTATCAATGGGTTCTGTTCCATATTATCATTAATATTTATCATCTTCCTTGGTCCTGAAATACTTGGCTCACTTCCCTGCCTTATCATGCTTTGCTGTGTGTAGTTTTCACTGTGGAGCAATTATTTTCATTGCTATTAAGAGACACCTGTAGGATGACTGAGCCCAAGGAAACTGAGGGCTGTGGTGGCCAAGGTCTTAAACCAGGAGTGTAATGGTCCATGCAACATATGGACATTTTGTCATTAGAATTTGTTCAGCATTGCAGATAATTTCAGCCCCAAATTACAGTTTGTTTCCTAATCACAGAAGCAATAAAGCAAATGCCCTCAGTAAAAGACATTAAGAAAAGTTTCTGGAGAGGAGAAGAGGCCTCACATCACTTTCCAGTTCATCCTTAAGCTGTTCTGTCCCATCAGCTCCAGCACAGATGTTGTGTAAATAGGGTCCTGTCTCTATGGAGACCTCGCTTCCCATGAGAGAGTATTCAGCAGGTATTCAGCACTTAAAATGATTGATCATGGAATGACTTTAATCAGTACATGAAATAATGATGATGATGATGATGATGATGATGATGGTGGTGATGATTTGGGTACCAGGAATTGAATCCAGGGGTGCTTAACTACTAAGCCATATCCCCAGCCCTTTTTATTTTTTGAGACAAGGTCTCGCTAAGTTCCTTGGGGCCTTGCTAAGTTGCTTAGACTGGCTTTGAAATTGTGATCCTCCTGCCTCAGCCTCCCCAGCTGCTGCTTCGATTGCAGGCATGCATCACTATCACTGCTCCCAGCTTCAACAAATGACTATTTTGAGTGTCTACTAATGTCTTGAAAATTTTTCTTTCATACTTGTGGGAACCTAAGATGTTATTAGTGTGAGATGTAAAGTTATATAAACTAAACTCTACTTAGCCTATTTGAAGGAATTTTAAAAATTTGATACAGGGAAATTAACTGGTGCAGAATGCACTTACTCTATTCTGAGCCCTTAGATATTTAATGATATGATGAAGAAATTATGATGTTATTCCTTAGTGCTGTTGCTATTTTTGGCAAAAGTCAAACCAGTATAAAAAGCTACATGATAGAATTTGTTTTTCTGAACTCTTTTCATAAAATAATTTGATACTTGCCAGGAGTTACAAAAAAGAATATTCAAAATTGTTTTGTCTCCTGGTCCTTCTGCTCTCAGTTTTATGTCCTAAGGCTTCACACATTTCTGTTTGCTAGCAGGATTGTCTCTGGTGCTTTTATGAAAATATTGATAGGGGACTGTTGGTTCCAAAGAAGGGCAGACACACAGGTGTACAAATACCTTCTCAAATATAGCTGCAAATAAACAACTGCTCTTCATGTATGAGCTTCACACAGAAAAGTCTGGACTGCCTGGGTAACTTGTGGACTTTGCCTAAGTGGCCAACAACTGGGTCATCTTTTTTTCCCAGATGAAAAAAGTATTTGCAAAGTGTACTCAGCAATAAATAACAAGCAATGAATCATATGCAACATGGGTGAATCTTAAAATATACAGAGTGAAAGAAGATGGACAAAAGACCATTACATTCTGTGTGATTCCCTTTTAATAAAATTCTAGGGAATGCGAGCTTGACTATGGCAACAGAAGAGATCTGTGATTTCTTGGGAGTTTGGGAGGCCTGGAGAATAAGTGGGGACTGTAGTTGGGTGCTGAGGATTACAGAGGGGCACAGGAAACTTTTGAGGGTGATGGATATGGGCCTTAACCTGATTATGGTGACAGTTTTATGGATGTATATGTTTATCGACATTTATCAAATTCTGTACTTTTCACTTGTGCACTTTAATATTTATTATACTCATATATAATAAAAAGAAAATATTTTACTATTATAAACTAAAATGCTTGCCATAGATAGCAGGTAGCTAGGAAAATAAATGCAACTAAAACTAAATAAGTGCAACTGAAAAGAAAAAAACAATCAACCTTCTTCTTTGGAATTTGGGGCACAGGAAAAGACCTGTGTCTCATAATTCTACTGTCATCTGAATTTTGATTCATAGATACAGAAAGTTACTTTTTAATTGTCAGCATCTGGATTTTGGAAGTGGACAGACCTAGACTTAGCCAGTTGTCTGCTAGTTTTGTGACTTTGAGTGAGATATTTGACCTTTCTAATTTTCCCCCCATCTGTGAAATGGGATGGTAAAGGCTCAATAGATAGAAGCAATTTTATTATTATTTTTATTCATTTCACATTCTAATTTCAATAGGATAGTCTTGACTGAGAACGTGGTATTTTAGATTCCTATGGGAGGGTATGTTACCCTTGAAAATTGGATCCTTTATCAAGGCCTTAGAATTGCCTGAAAAAGAAAGCCCTGCCACTAAGGGCAAGGAGCACAGTGATTTGCAAATGCTCACTTTCTGTGTTCTGGAACGTGGGCATGGAGCTGCCAGGTGACCTCTCACATGGTTTTTCGGCATTTAAGTGACATCTGATCTTTGCAGGCTTTCACTGTTTAAGTGAACTAATGTTTCTTTTATTAAATAAATTTTTTTTGCTAATAATAATAATAATAATAATAATAATAATAATAACAATAATACCATTGCAGATGCTAACCAGAAAAAAGGAACAGATCCTGGAATAATTTCCTAAAACTACCAAAAATAGGGCTAGATGGCAGCTGGAAATAGGTCCTGTGGATCAGAGCTATGAGTTTTCTTTTGTTTTGTTTTTTTAAATCATGCGGATTTGAGTAAGGAAGATATTTGTCATTTACATTGAACTGAGAAAGCTTTGGGATGATAGGGCAGTCCATAGGAGAAGTAACCATTGCTTCTGCATGAGTAGGGGTTGAGAGTCCAGAAAGTTTATACTAAAACAGAGTGCAGGGGACCAGGAGCCCTGGTGGTTGGGCAGGATGGGATTTAAGTCAAGACTTTAGTGTACATTCAGGCAAATGGAACAGTCTGTTTTGCTTTTACCTGTAAATGTTAACAGATTAACTTCTCTTATCTCTACCCATACCCCATCCGTTGGCCCTTGTAAGTAAATATAGGATATCTCATAATTTTTCTTACATCAGTGGGTATGCATGTTTGGAGGATAGTATAGCAAAAATATAGTTGTTTTAAAAACTCTGAAATGATATCACTTTCATTTCTAGAAATTAGAGAGAATTGCGTGCTTTCTCATGATCTGGACTTAATTTTTTCCTTTGCCAAATGGTTGCCGAAATTGACAAGTGATTGATTTGGTTTTAGAGGGTCCCAGAACTACACAGAGTGCTTTTCATATCTGGAAAGACATGCCTAGTTATTCACAAGTTATAAGATTTATTGCCTTACCCTAACATGTTGCAAATTAGTTTGTTTGCTATTTATTTTAGTCAGAATGTAGTAATTGATGTCATTTGCCGAAGGGCAAATTTGATCCCAAGAAAGGGTAGACTGCCTCATGATGCTCTTTCTTTTTTCTTTGTCATCTCTGCAGGGTTGGAGATAAGATGGGTGGACTGCTACTTTCCTTTTACTCATCCTTCCTTCGAGATGGAGATCAACTTCCACGGAGAATGGCTAGAAGTTCTTGGCTGTGGGGTGATGGAACAACAACTGGTCAATTCAGGTAGAAAAGAATCTCACATGTTACTGAAAGGCTCTCTAAAGGAACCTTCTCTCCTCAAGTAACCTCCTAGTCATTTGCAGTCATTTCCGTATTCCTCCATTGCTATCTTTCTCTCCGTGGTGCCCACTAGACATATCTGACACCAACTTTCTCACATCTCATTTTGCAGAAGCTTCTTTGGAGATCTTTCTTGTCAGAACGTGGCTGCTGGTTTGTACCTTGATTTTGTGTTTGTTGATATGTTGCTTTCTGATTGCCCCAGAGGCAATTAAATGCATCTCATACTCGAACAGTTTGTCTTCTAAACTGACTTCCTTCCAAGCCCATGTGTAAGCAGTAAGCTCTAAATGGAGATTGTCCTGGGTTCCTTTTCCCGGCTCCTATAGAAGGGCATTTGCTGTGTGCCTTGGAGGGCAGTTGTGGCTCCAGGTTGGTCAGATTTTCCCTTGGTTTCACTCTTAGGTCCCCTTCCTTGTAAGGGTGTGGACTTAAAGGGCTCACAAATTCTTCTCTAGGTTGGTCATGGGGCCTTCAGCAGAATGGAGAAGAGCAATCTTCCTGGGTGACTAAGAAATGTGGGTAAAGATGGGACAATGTGGTCATGGAGTTAGAAGATGAGGTGATTCTGAAGAGATAGGGTGCCTGAAGTATTTGCTGGGAAACTGGATGTCTGGCTCTCCCTCTTACCCTTGTTATATTATGGTTTAGATGTGAGATGTCCCTTAGAAGCTCATGTGTGAGAAGGTTCAGAGAAGAAATGATTGGGTTATGAGAGCCTTAACCCAATCAGTGAATTAGTCACCTGATGGGATTAATTGAGTGGTGGCTAAAGGCAGGAAGGGCATGGCTGGAGAGGTGGAAATTGGGGATGTGGCTTTGGGGTATATATTTTGTATCTGGCAAGTGGAGCTCTTTCTGTTTTGTTTTTTTGTTTTTGTTTTTGTTTTTAAACTGATCATTATGTGAGCTGCTTCCCTCTGTCACATTTTTCCTCCATGATGTTCAGCCTCACCTTGATCCCTGAGGAATGGAGTCTGCTGTCTATGGATTGAGACCTCTGTAACTGTGAGCCCCTAAATAAATGTTTTCTCTCCTAAAATTGTTCTCAATCTTTTAGTTGTAGCAGCAAAAATGTTGACTAGAACATGTTACCAAGTAAGCCCCATTTTGCCCACTGCACAGGATGCCAATCACTGAAATGACAAGTTTGGCAAAAGAAAGTTTATTCACATGGTGCCTATGCTGAGGAAGTGGGAGCCCCAAATCTCAAATCTACCTCCCTTGGATAGGGCTCAGGGGTATTTATGGGATAAAGAAGCAGGATGGTTTGAGGTGTCAGAGAAGGTGACTGGAGGCAAGGAAAGATTCATTGGTCAGCTGCTTGTGTATTGTTAAAACTTTGTGGCTCCTTAGAAGCACATTCAGAAAATGGCAGAGTTAGAATGATCTGTGCGTGGGGTTTTTGGCCCTCTGAAGTCAAAGGTTCTCACCCATCAGACAACTGTTGTAGGCCCCAGTAAATGGTTGGCAATTTCAACTGGTTTAAGAAAGATTAAAGTAGCCCCCACGTAAAAACTGCTTAAGCAATTGTTACCATAGTGACCATCCATCAGAGGAGCTTCTGATAGCAAAGCTGATGGGATTATACTGCCTAGCTGTGTGACCTGTAAAATTGGTCATCAAAGCAAGTAGCTAAAAGCAAATGGAACAGGTGGATTCATTCAGATTTCCCCTTGGTTTTACTCTTAGGTCTCCTCTATGTAGGGATGTGGACTTAATAAGCTCACAGATTCTTCTCCGTTTTACTGAGGAAGGTGGTGGAAAGCCCAGTGGAGGCCAAATGCTTCACAGGCAGTTTTCGAATATTTGAAGGGCCATCCTAGAGCATAGTGGTGACAGAAATCAAAATTAAGGCCTGTAACAATTGTGAGGCCAACACTTGGGTAAACCCTGGGGTTTTCTTACAGCTCTCTCAATTAATAACTGTGTCTCTTCAGGCAAGTTACTTATTACCTATGATCTTTGGTTTTTCAAAGTTACAATGGACACAGTGACCCCATCTTCAAAGTTTTGTTATGAAGATTAATTTCAGATGATATTTATAATGTTCTTATTAGCAAAGGATCCAGCACACAGCATACATTCAGTTGAAATTAATATTTAAAGATTTTTCTCATGGTTAGAGCTCTTTACCAACAGGAAATACATTAAAAAGGCTATCTTGCATGTTGTAGATCAATTTCTAACTAAGTGGAACTAGTTATCTCTTTGATCTATACGCATCTCTATCTGTGATTCTAAATTTGAGTTTTTGGTTTTAGAGGGAAAAGAAAGTAATAAAAAACTGAAAGAAAGGGAAAATCAGCCTGTAGATGTGTATGCATTTCAGTAGAAGACACAGAATATTGGGAGTAACATTTAGTCTGTCCTTGAGTAGGAGCTGACTTCAAATATCCCTGTGGTCTTTTGATTTTTAGACAAAAGATTTGAAGGACTCCTAGGCTTCCTTCTAGAAGTGCCTATTGTCAGAAGGCCAGAGCTAATAAAGCTAGGAAGGGAGATCAACTTACGTATCACTTGTCACTTGGATTTGTGCCTTCTTATATTTCCTTCATGGTTTCTATGAGGTTTATTCGCAAAAATAACTGGCTGAATATAGTTATCTGAAACAAGTTTCCAATTTATTATTGATCATTAATGAAACTGTTGTTCTACAATTAAATCAGCCATGTTAGATATTCTTGAAGGGAATGGCAAAGTAAAAAAAAAAGACACCCAACATGCAAATATGTTTCAGAGATTCACAGTATTGGTAGGATGTGCTTCAAGTCATTGGGAAATTGTATGCATAAAATTTAAATATCCTGCTAGGGAGGGAGAATAAAGAAATAGAAGAGGTGGCTTTTATAAAAGAAACTGTATAGGTTTTGCTATTTGAACTTGAAGTTATTGTGACAAAGTTCTGCTCTGTTTTTAGACTTGAATGTGTTTTGACTTCTCTAGTTGAAGATTTTAAACGATTTGCCTGGCAGTTTCCAACTACAGACATTATTTGCAAGTACAGTTGGTTTTCTGTTTTTGAAGTTCCCAGAGCCTGAAGAAAGACAGGCTACCTGTACATCATTCCTCTATTTTAGTCTTTTCTCCTGCATTTTCTTTCCTCTCCTTTTCTCTCTTTTCCCTTCTTTCAACTTCCCTTTCTCCTCCCCATTTCCTTCTCTTTTTCAAAGAGAACTTCTAAGAGACAAATTGATGGTTCTAAATTCTCCTTCTTTAAGGTTCTTAACTCTATTAGGTTAAGTACTACAAGTCAGAAACCAACGATGTTGGAGCAACGGTAGCAGCAGACATCATTTGAGCCCTTCCTGTAGGCTAGCATCTTAGAAAGAATGCTTTTTGGGGGGAGGGGGAGGGTACTGGGGATTGAACTTGGGGGTACTTGAAAACTGAGCCACATCCCCAGCCCGATATTTTGTATTTTATTTAGAGTCAGGGTCTCACTGAGTTGCTTATTGCCTCACTTTTGCTGAGGTTGAACTCACGATCCTCCTGCCTCATCCTCCTGAGCTGCTGGATTTACCAAAAAGTATGCTTTTTATGCTTTCTTCCATTTCACCTCAATGAAAGGGTTCTGTGGTAGGTGCTATTATTCCCTGCATTTTATAAAGCCTGAGAAAGATGATCTGGATCAAATGGCTAGATTGCTAGTGAGGCTTGGCCAAGTCATTTTTTTTATTTGGGGGTGGGTGAGTGCTAGTACTGAGAATTGAACTCAGAGGCACTCAACCACTGAGCCACATCACCAGGCCCCCCCCCCGCCTTTTTTAAAAAAAAAATAGTATTAAAGAGAGGGTCTTACTGAATTGCTTAGCACCTCACCATTGCTGAGATTGACTTTGAACTTGCCATCCTAAGCCTCCTAAGTTGCTGGGATGACAGGTGTGTGCCACCATACCTGCTGGCCATGTCCTTTTGATAACAGTTAACCATGATATGATGCTACCCAAATTGTGGATTGCATTATTGGGAATGATAAAATTGATTTCAGATAAGTTGTTTTAAGTAGTATTGATTGAAAAACTGAAACAATGAGGCAGACTGCAAATAAAACTTCACTTGTTTTGTAATTTGTTACCTCTGAAGGGCTCTGCCGCTTGGGTCACCTTCTGTGATAGAGTGATTTATTTAGAGCATGAAGTTAGATTGCTCACTTAAACAGCATCAACATTTTCTCACATGTTGAAGTTGACGGTGGCCTATGTATGTTTTTGTGCATGGAATGAGGCTCCTCCTAAGGGCTTGTGGAATCTTACCTTATTTCTTCTTCCTTAAGTTGTAGAATCTTCCCCATTACTTTCAGATTCCTTTGAGTTAGTATTTGTGATGAATAGTGACCATTTTCTTGTGTTTTTCCTCAGGGATGTGTTATGAGGACAGTACTGAGCCAGGTCCCCACATATTAACCCTTTCTTCTCACTGGACTGACTGAGGCTGGTTCTGCCCTTTCATGTGGTATGTGGAGCACAGATATCTAAAGCCATCCCAGTGAGGACTATGGGCCGTGCTTGTGCCAGGAAGGAATTTACCACTTACTGAGCCCCTGTAAAGTTTAGAAGATTTTAAGTAGGCCAAGGGGGGAGAAAAAGCTGTGTAGTAGAACATAACTTACAAAATGAGTCCAGTTCCCTACATCCTCATTAAAATTTCAAACATGACATTTTGGGGAAACATGCATGAAAAGTTTCCAGCCTTAAACAGTCATTATTTGTTCATTCATTCATCACATATTTCCTGAAGTCCTTCTAAGGCTGTGGAAAATAGAATAAGTACTGTCTTTACCTTTGAGAACATCACACAGACGTAAAATACACTTATTTGCAGTAGACGTACATTGGGCAGAGTGACAGGGAGGGGCAGGGATTAGAGAAGACTGTGCCAGAACTTTGTGCAGGTGACATGCAGGCTGGGTAGAGACAGTCCAGGTCTTTGTAACAGGCATT